GACATACATTTCATTCTGGTCTGGAGTAAACCCCCCAATTTTAATTGAACATTCTTCAGCTGGATGAAATATTTTATGAATTTAGCCTGGACTTTTAGTGTGATTATTACACTAAGAATACAAAATTCTCTCCCCCAACCTTTATCTCTCAAACTGGTCAGTACTGTATTAAGCCACCCCCTGTTAAATAAATTGCTTCTTTCATTTTCTCTTAGCAAAAGCTGCAGCTTGTCCCAACCATCCCTCTGTTACCTGGAATTTTAGGCTACATTATTAGCATTTTAAAAGGTGATATTAGCATTTTTAACATGGCAGTGTAGGCCTCTTTTTTAACTTCAGGAAAACACATTTCTTTCTTCTTAGCCAAGGACATTTCTTTTGGTATGTGAGAATGTGTCTTTTCAGCACTAAAGAATACAGAGCATATTCTAAAAGTCCCTGAATATACTTGCAAGTTTTAAGAAAGATGCAAACCTAGTTTGGAAAGAATAAAATAACTTATAAATTTGCCACTTGTGGAATGTTATCTAGCATCGATGTTTTCTATTGTTCAAGTCTCACATGTTCTTTCTTGCTTGATCGCCTGCTTTCTGATGTATCACATATACTAAATAAATGAATCATTTGTTTCTGTACCTTATAAAAAGAATCACCCCCACCCTTTTTGCTTTGCCTGAATTACTTGGTAATTCATATTTTTGGGTGGACAAAGCAGCCTCTTTGCAAGGATAAAACTATGTCTCTCAAATTCATGGATCAAGTTCTTATCAGCGCCACCAAACTTGGGGTGCTGGAGTTTTGAGGCAACACCTGTTTTAATTTGCTTTACTTGCTATGAGGGGTTGGTAGCCAGCCTCCCATATGGCAAGAGAAGATGGACTTACTTAGGATGGGGGGGGGGAATAGGTGGGTAATTTGGATTGAAAGATTTAAAAGTCTTGAATCTCTGGCATACAAGAAATTTGGAATAGAGAATTGGAGTATTTTATATTTCCCAATGAATAGATTCATTGGCCTTAAGAAATGCTAGTTATGTTTCTTAAGACTTAAAAATTGATTAGTTCACCAAAAAGGAGAAAAAAAGAGGGAGGGTTTATTGAAGTTTTCGAAATATGTTTTAAATATATTGGCTTTTATCTTGTCTATGTTGGAGACATAAATTGGAAGGAAGTTTGGCGTCTATCTCAAAGGCACATCTGCTTCTAATACGCTATTGTTTTGGTACCATTACTATACTGAACAAGGTTCTTGGAAGGCGGTTAATAGCTAAAGATATTAAAGTTTTGCTAAAGTATATCCCCCAGATCTGAAGTCTTTCAGTCTGTGAAGAATTTGAGAGAAATGCAGGTAGTCCTTGACTTACAACAGTTCATTTAGCGACCATTCAAGGTTACAACAGCACTGAAAAAATGACTTATGATCATTTTTTCACCCTTAGGACTGTTGCAGCCTTCCCATGGTCACATGGTCAAAATTCAGACACTTGGCAGCTGACTCATATTTAGGACGATTGCCATGTCCTGGGATTTTGTGATCACCCTCTGTGACCTTCTGACAAGCAAAGTCAATGGGGACAACAGATTCACTTAACAACCATGTCACTAACTTAACAACTGCAGTGATTCACTTAACAACTCTGGCAAGACAGGTCATAAAACGGGGCCAAACTCACAACAAATGTCTCACTCAGCAACGGAAATTTTGGACTACCTGTATTAAGTTTGGACTGCAGCAAAAAAAAAAAAAAGCAGTTGCGAAGTCATGGATGAATAGCAATAGCACTTAGGCTGTCTCTAAGTGGTTTACAGAGTCAGCCTTTTGCCCTCAACAATCTGGGTCCTCTTTTAGCAATCTTGAAAGGATGGAAGGCTGAGTCAACCTTGAGCCAGTGAGGATCAAAATGCTGAATTGCTGGCAGTCAGCAGTCAGTAGAATTAGCCTGAGGTACTGCATTCTAACCACTGTGCCATCACTGCTCCTGAATGGTGCTGTTCCAGACTTTAAAAGTTGACTTAATGACATTTGTCAGCTCTATGCCACTGAATCAATTATGTAACAATGGAGAGGCAAGAATTGACAATATGGGGTGGCTTACTTTAGGATCAATTTATTCAAACACTGAATCGTAATGAGGAAATTATAAAACTTCAACAGCTTTATTTTTTACCTATGTTTTTTTTTAACAAGTAGGTAACATCATCAATGCGAGTGAGTGTGCGGTTCTTCCCGTTGTGTTGGATCACCCTGGGAGAAAATATTGCAGGATCCTCTAAGTGTTTAAGTAGAGGAGAACTCCAGATTTGAGTGAGTCTGAATGAGTCCGTTTCAGTGACAGACCCATTCTTATGGAATAATTTGCCTCAAGAGATTTGGGAACGGCTAATCGTAGGAGAGCTTTTAAGACTTGGCTTTTCAAAAAGCTTTGGATCTTAAGTAACTGCAACATGTTATAATATTTTAACTGTAGGATTTTAAAGATGGTATTAGAGTTTCCTTGTGTAGTTTTTAATTTTATTGCATGTAAGTTGCCTGGTATTCCTACAAACGTGGTTGGATATGAATATCATCAGTGCTAGCCACTGTTAGCCACCATCAGGAAACTGACTTGCAATGATCATATTACCTAGTTGGGTACTGCAGTTAAATGTCTGCAAGTAAAATAATTGATCTGGTTTATCACATTATGATTGACTAATTGGTGGATCTTGGGAGGTGGAATCCAGGGCTTTTTGCGGCGGGGGGGGGGGACCTTATGCAGCCCAAGGATCTCAAGCAGTGCACTGCTGATTTAAAATACTTTCAGCAACTAAAATCAACTATTTTGGGAATGGGAATGCATGTGCTCCTGCTGTTTCTTTGACATCATTTAGCCTGCCTATACAGGTCATCCTCAACTTTAAGTGAGACATTTGTTAAGGGAGTTTTGCCCCATTTTACAACCTTTCTTGCCACAGTTGCTAATTGAATCACTGCAGTTGTAAATTACTAATACAGTTGGCTAAGTGAACCTGACTTCCCCATTGACTTTGTCTGTCAGAAGGTTACAGAAGGGGATCACGTGACACCCCCCCCCAGGACGCTGCCACTGTCATAAATATGAGTCTGTTGCTGAGCGCTCTGAATTTTGATCAGTGACCACGGGGATGCCGCAACACTCATAAGTGTGAAAAAAAATGATCCTAAGTCACTTTTTCCGGTGCCGTTGTAACTTCGAACGGTTGTAAGTCGAGGACTGTCTGTATTGTTTTCAATAAGGCAGAGCTATGGTATCCCTTCATTCTTATGTCAGGCTTTTGAGATGACTAAACCAGAATCCAAATGGGCAAACTATTCAGCAGTATTGAGTGAAAGAATCCTTCCAATTCTTAGCAGTATGGAAAAAATACAGCTGAACTGAAACCTTGCAGAGAGGGACCCCAACTCTTGAGATCTGACCTCAGTCACTAGGCCAACCTTAGTTAGCAGCGAGCCTTCCAGGCAGGGGACAGTTCTACCTGCACTTATATATAGCAAGCTTATCCTATCCAGTTAAACCAGATTTTTCAAATGGCTCAGGAAGAGTCAAACAATATCGCCCCATCATTATATTTTCCTTGTCTTTCTTTCAGTTACTGCTTTTCGTATCTGCCACTTTAAAAACTGCCCTGCCTACCATGGGCTGATTCATTGTGGAGGCAGCATTGTCTCTGGGAGAGCATCCAGAGCCTTGGCAGATTCACTTTCTACATCAGCCTGGCTGACTAATTCTTTGTTCTGTCTAACCCAGTATGAATCAATACTGGAAGGGGGAATCCCAGTGCACTCCTCTAATACCTCTGAAAATAGGCCAAAACTGACATGCTTTGCCACCTAAGTAGATCACTGAGATGAATCACAGCTTTGAAAAACTGTAAACGAATCAGCATCAGTGAAGGAATAAAAATATAACTTGAGTTTGGAGAGAGATGGACTTGGGCAGAGATCACCTGATTTCTTATTATTTATAATCTGGGAGGATTTAATTTTGAGCTAGGGTTTGCTCTAAGAAAGATTAAGCTATTTTATAATTCCACTGTATGAATTGTATTTTCTGGGCTGTAGAAAGACTGCAGACAAGTCATGTGTATGGTAGTGAAAATTACCAGTCTAATAAGACCTCATGTTCATCCATCAGTGGAAGATTTGTAGAATTCCACTTTTTTCTTGATGGATTCTGAATTAAATACCTCTGTTAACATCAAGCTGAAATAAGTAAATCTGAAATAAATACATTCTGAAAGCTATTACCATAAACTAATAGCTTTTAGAATGGTAACTGGCTTCTGCTGAAGCAAATAAAGACTCTTGCGATACTTTAAAAGAAAAGATTTATTGCGTGATTTGTGGATCAATGTTCACTTTATGTGATGAAAAGGACTCAGATCCACAAAGGTTTATACAGTTACCAACTACTGTGCTACAAGATTCTTTACAAGATCCATATAGTATGGGTTCATATATCCTAGCACTGTATTATTAACAAATCTGGCAATTCTAAAAGTCACAACTGAACGCATTTCATCTTCTTTATGCTGGCTTTCCATTCTTACATGATTACTAATGCTAGTACAGTACAACAGGGATCCCCAATGCTCAGCATACTCATGAAACTCCATTTATGTGAGTGGCAGGTGGGCACGTATGCCTGCTGCTTGTGCAAATGGAGCTGCACGTGGTCACCCACCACTTGTGCGGAACCATCCCCTCTTCCCCTCACCAATCCACAAAGCCAAAAAGATTGGGGACCGCTGCAGTACAGTACCTATAATTGTCTAACTCTCTAAAGAAGTACTTAATACTTCTAAAGAAGTATTTTTCAGACTTCTTCTTAAATACCTGCAGAGTTATGTGTATGAGCCCATTGCAAGTAGAGTGAAGGGGTGATGGGTCATGAGAATTAGGATGAAATTGTGCAGGAATCCCAAGCCTGCCCTGCCATATTACACTCCCATTATTGAGTTTGGAAAGTGCATCCAGCCCACCTCCTTGTATGCAGCCGTCACATGAGTGTAGATGAGGCTCCTCATCTTGGCCCAGGCTCTCTGAACCTCTGGAGCACTGAACTCATTGGTGTACTCTTCCACAAGCACTTCCAGTATGATGCCAGTCAGAATCTGGGAGAAGGACGAAGAGGAAAAGTTAGGAGAACAGGATTTCTCATTCTCCTCTGTAGTTTCAAAACAAAGCATGATCGTTAGCCCCTCCCCCCTTTTTAACTGCCATTGCTTTGGCTGTGTGCTGCCATAATGGACATTTATTCTCACTTTCTGTACAATACCCAGTAGATGAATGACAAGGTAATTAATAATAACATAAAAGCACTCTTCCTTAATATTATGCTTCCCTGGGATTTTAGACTATAACTCTTTCATTCCTTGGTAGGTTATTGTAGGCTAAGGCAGTGGTGGCGAACCTATGGCACAGATGCCAGAGACGGCACTCAGAGCTCTCTCTGTGGGCACAAGTGCCGTCACCCCAGTCCTAGGCCTTCAGCTGGGTTTTATAAAACCTTTTCACTTTAAGCCTCCACCGTCGTGTGCAAAAAAAAAAAAGGTTCAATCAATCAGTCAATTTCAACTTCTCGCAGGGAAAATAAGATCTTGCAAAGTTGGAATTGATTGATTGAACTTTTTAGTCCCACCCAGTCTGCCATTACCACCACAGCCACGCCCACCCAATGGGCCACACCCACCTACCCAATTGACCACACCCAGCCTATGGGCCACACCCACCGGGTACCTGATGATGCATAAGTGGGTTTTGGGTTGCAGTTTGGGCACTTGGTCTCCAAAAGGTTCGCCATCACTGGGCTAAGGAGTGTACCTAAATAATTTTAGGGCATGGGTATAAAGGTCTTAAATTTATTGATCTTTCCTAATCATCTTAGATGACTAGGTTATTTCAATTCAGAAGTACAAAACTAGAAGTTCTCCTTTACCTCATAGCCATTTTATCCTTACAATTTCTTGTCCATTTTTAGTAGACTACAGGGGGCAAAATGAGATTTGTCCTTGATGCTCTGAACATGTGTGGTGAGGCAATGCACCCATTGAAAATGACGCAGAAGAAACACTTTGGATATTCAAGCTTGAGCACAGCACATTTTCTACTATTCAACAAGGCAGGTTAATGTGATCAAAAGTTGCGACTGTTTTATGAATTACTCATTTTAGTGATTCGGTGCTTATAACTTGAAAAGTAAGCATTTAGTTATATTAAAGTTGGGCTTGTGTACTATTTTCCTCATCATCTGACATGTCCTACATGGTCATTTCAGCAACCTGTGGGACTCTGAATTTCAGCTCCAAAGTTGCACCACAGCTTGCACTGAGGGAACTATAGAACAGACTGTTTGGATGGCAACACAACATATTATCAAAATCAAATCAATAGAACAAAATCAGCGATAAAATTAGACGACCAAATACTTAATAAAAGCAAGGGAATTAGGAAAGTGTTTTCTTGATGTTGGAAAAACTACATGCCAAGAAAATTCTGCAAGCAGGAGCCCCAAAAACTATCACCAACAGATATAAAAATTATTAAGAAAACAGCTTCTTTAGTCAATAAAGAGTCATGGGATAGCTCATCTAGAAGCAGATTTTTTTTCAGTAGCTACCTTAAAATTAAGTCTTTCCATTCAAACTGGACGGGGACTATTTTCTACCCAAGTGAGATGTGTTTCAATTACTAGTTCTAATTAGTACTTTAGCACCTGCCTTTTGTGCTAACCCCTGGAACTGAAAAATGATTCGGCAAGTGCTTCAGCCTTCATGTGAGGGCAGTATTTTATTTTATTTTGCTATTTATGAAAACAGCCTTTTTCCGGGCTTCTTCAAAAACCTAAAAAAATATGTTTTTCTTTAAGGAATCAGAAAGATTCTTAAGCAGTGGACTCATACAGAAGTCTGAAAAAAAAAAGATGGGTGTGTTTGAATAAACTGCAGGGAAGTGCTGCATACACACCACATCTAAAGCACTTCTGAATCACTTTCAAAGTATGCACAACCTCCCACCTGGTCTGCCTTCAGATATAGTCCACTTGCAGTTCACTACAACAATCCTGGTTGAAGATTCCCATTGCATAAATAAACTCTAACCAAAGTATTTCTATCCAGGAGAGACTGCAAGTAGTCCCCCCTTCCCCCCTGTTCGCTATAGATTAGAAATAATAGAATTACAGCATAAAAGAGACTAAAAATAAAATATATGAGAGCATTCATCATATAACTTATAGCTGGTGTCCCTAGCTTCATGTTTGTATCTGAAAATCTAATTGGAAGTTTCAAGCACAACAATCACAAAAGGCACCAATTTTGACAGAATAGCCAGATCTGTGGGCAGGTCTGATATTTTAAAAGTATGTTGCAAATATTCATTATTCACTGTAAAAGGCTGAGACTGTTTTATCTTTTTTCAATTTACCACTTAACTTTTTTCTGGGTCGGGACACACTTTAGATAAAACAAACAAACCAAATCTGGACTTTAGCTACCACCTTATTGCTCAAAAATAACTAGTGACAGTTTTAGAAAGAAAAGAAAATGCTTTGTGCCATGCCAGCTAAGCTTTTTGGTTTGGTTTTTTTTATCTTTATAACAATATGCCCTGCTAATTTAAAGCATATATATCACAACAAGGTAATTTGTATCTGATTGCTAGCTGATATTCTGGAATGTGTTCTGCCAATCTTCTTCCTGTCTGTTCTGCATTGTGACTGCTATAATCTTTAGTGTTTCAACTGGGAAATTATTGATATTTTAGATCAAGCCAAATCCAAAAATGCTAAGGAGTTCCTGGAAAGTTGGCATTCTGACAAATCAGCCATATGTGTGTGTATGTGTATATGTATATATATGTGTATGTATATATACTTTGAACTAAATTCACACATATTTATGAGAACTAGTGGCTGAAATAAAACTGTCTCAGTGCTGAAGGACAATCATAGTCTCATCCATCAGTCATCAACTAGAATTGTGGCCAATGATAGATCTAGATTTCAAAATCAATAGAAACAGATCTGCAGTAAGGTGAAGTTGCTCCAAGTGCTCTATTTCAGTCAAAATCAATAGCTTGGGTCAAAGGGCATGAGCAAATAAGGGCTCGTTGATTTGAGATTTTTTAGCAGAAAGAATATAGTTCCTCAGAACTGACAGAGGAAATCAATCCTGGAAAAAGACACAAAATAATAATCTCTAAAGAGTGGCATTATATAACTGCAGTATTTTCCATTCAAGTAAAAGACTTCTGAAGGACAGAAAGACACTCTATAGTCTTCTCCATCTGAAAATGACAACCTGAGTAACCTTTTAAATAGTCCTTAACCCACAATTTAAAAAAAAAATGTTTTTGGAAAACAGCAATTAATTCAAGTCTGAGTTTGCTGCTTCCCTGTAGAATGATTAATGGAAAAAAATGTACCGTATATTCCGGCGTATAAGACGACCCCCGTCTTTGGCGCCAATTTTAAAGCTTGCAAATGTCGTCTTATACGCCGGAAAGTACGGTATATGTATTTGCTGGTCTCTGCCTTTCCCTTATAGGTACTCTTAGGATATTGCAGACAATCTCAACTCAATCCAAATGTTAAAACAAATGGGAATGATTGTAAACACAAGCCCCTAATGTACACATTTCGTTGTTTGTGGATCTTACAAGTAAACTGAATATTGATGATTACACCGCAAAATGATATATAGTTTCTGTTATTAGAATTAGATGGAGATTCTTCATCATTTAAATACTTTTGAGATATTAAAGCGCCAAATTTGAAATTGCCAAGGACTATTAGCCAGTCATTATTACCATTTTATGTCTGCTTTATTTGGTTTGGGGGTTTCTTATCAATGTTCAAGAACATGGTTTTTCTCTTACCTTGAAGTAGACAGGGTCGACTTTGTGCTTGACCGCATGTGCCTTGCCCACCAGAGCTAGCACAGAAGAGACCTTTTCTGAATCATATATGTTCTCCACCACGCTATTAATAGCCCCCATAACCCTCCTGGCATGTTTCCGCAGCTGCAGGCTTCTTTCCATCTCTAGTGGATCTTCCATGTGCTTGAACTGGCTGAAGTACTGCTTGGCAGATGGGAAGTTGACAAAAAATCTGCACAATACCAAAGAGAGAAGAGTGCCAAGTTAGTTTGGAAAACAATATGTCCCAGTGTGTTTTGGGGTGGGTGGGGAGGAAAGAGCAATGGAAGTGAAGTGAAAGCCTTAAAAGTAAGGATTTTAAGAGGGAGACCTGGATGCCATTTTTCTCACATCATTAGGACAGCTTCTACCACAATGTTAGCTTCCAGACGAATTGTAATCATGCCAGCAGAAAAGTAAATTTTTTTAATGAATTTTGGGGAGCCATTTTATATGGGAGCATTTTAAAACTGGAAGAAGGCTGAACTTCAAGTGATTTTACTGTGGAAGTAAAGTAAAAGTAAATCTACTTTTATGTGGAAGAGCTGCTGGGGTGAATGCACATCACCATATTTATCACTTCCTTTCACTGAAAATTTGCCTGCTAGTTTAAACCAAGCCTAGTGCTTTTATTTTAGCCAATATATTCCCCAGGATGATACTTTTAAGTCTCTTTAGAGATGATTATCCCTTTAGCTCACTTTAAGTCAATGTATAAAACTCTGCCAAGCATTCATTTATTCATTCATTTTATATGATGTGTTGTTAAATTTTCAAATTATCCCCACAGGAACTTACAATAAAAACAGTGTAAGCAATTGTGGGAGGAATCCAGAGAAAGAAATATTTTGGGGAATATTAAAAAGGCAGAAACTTCTCCTACACCCAGCTAGAAAACTCAGCATAGGCCAGCTTTTAGAAATACAAATTTAACAATCTTTCAGAAAGGTTGGAGCCTTCCAGCTAGAAACTGAAGAGATTAGGAAGACAAAGACACCTAAAATATACATACCCCACCCAAACTCTAAAAGACATGACCTTTGGGGACATAATAGGATTAACCCATCAATACCAAAAGGGCACACTCAGACTCAGGTCAAAGTACATGACACAGGAAATACAAAGCCTCAAACAGGAACAGGAAACAATCTCAAAAGCCCCAGAAGATATAAAAAACCCCACTCCCAACTACATGTGGTCAGTTTTTCCCACAGCCATCTTTCTGTCTGGCTTTCCTCTTCAATAAACTGCAACCTTCTTTCTAAAGCAGTCTCCATTTTGTTTATTCCCAGCTTGGACTGGACCCTGATGAAGATTTTTCTTTCAATACAATAAAAATGGTGCAAACAATATAAAATGATTAAGTCATCCAGTCTGAGGACAAGGGTAGTGGGCCAATGTATCACAATTTAATGATGAGAACATTTGGTTCATGCAAAACTCTGCTTTGTGGGAACACCCACCCAACCCTTTGTTCTGTTTTTTTTTTCAATTTTTTTCAGCGATGCATGTATAGGAGAGGTAACGCCATTGAACTGGTTGAAACAGTAGTCTAGTTCATTTTCTTAATGGACTATTGGGGGTTTATGTACTAATTTGCATTCATATTCTGCTTTTTTTCCGAGAAACCCAAGCTGGGGGGAACATTTCTATCCTTTCCAACAATTTTGGGGAGATAGGATAATGATTACAGATGCCTAGAGTGCTTCATTGCTGAAAACGTGGGAAAGGATTAGCGTTTGAATGAATCAGAATTTCAGTCAGTTGTCCCCTTCTATTCCCAAATCCACCTTGAAAAGCCTTGAACCATGTGGCATAGAATGGCAGCCTGAGGTATATTAGCCATGGCTTTGAGAGCTGCTTTCTTATGCTTGCACAGTTTGCTCTTCAAGCAAATTCCTAGTAGGCCAGTTTCACTCGGAGACAGATGAGGGTGGGGGAGGGGGAAACAACCACCTGGCTGTTTTTGATCCTGACTGTTTCCTTCACCCACACACCATGACAGAGCAGCAGACTCTTTGGGTTCCACTTGATTAGGTTGTTCCCACTTGGCTGGTCTCACACAAGAGGTTGTCAGGGAAGCCATGTGAAGCCGCAAATGGAATAACCGCATCTCCTGCTGCCTTTCCTTAGACATCTGGGATTCATTAGCCTGCCTAAAATAAGTTCTGAAGTGTGAAGAGTGTGTGGCAGCAAAAGGACAGGAAAGATGAGAGACAGAGAGCAGCAGGGGGAGGATTAAGTGCTTTATTTTGCCTTTTAAATATTCTTTCCATTTTCTTTCTGATCCAGTCCAAATGCCAGTCTCTCCAGTTGATTTTGATAGAAGGAAAGTTGCTTCTCTCAAGGAGAGAAGCAACCTGGAATTTAAGGAGAAACTTCCTAACTGTCCCAGTGAGGACAATTAACCAGTGGAATAACTTGCTCCTAGAAGTTGTGGGTGCTTGAGCAGACCGTTGGACTAGAAGACCCCCAATGTCCCTTCCATCTCTATTCTGATTGAAGGTTGCTGTTGATTAAGTCTCATTCTCAGGTTTCTCTGCAAAATACAAATCTGTTCAATGCTTATTTCTGCCAGCAACAATAGATTCTGCCCAATTTTTTTTCCCAGGTCAAAAAGCAACTGTCTGATAGATGGTCCCAAAGCAGCTTACCCTTTTCTGGAAAAAGAGGTAGCCAAGTAAGTGAGACAAAGTGGATGCCAGATCTTAGTACAGGGGTGTCAAATTCAATTTCATTGAGGGCTGCATCAGCACTGCGGTTGCCCTCAGAGGGCTGGGTGGGTGTGGCCAGGGTGAGTGTGGATGGAGTGGGTGTGGCCTAGTGGGTGAGCATGGCCAGCTCTACATCGTTTGATTCAAGGGTGCCTGTGGGGCCTGGGCAGGAGTGGAACAGATCTGAGGATCTCTGGCAGAGGTGGGTGGGATCAGGGCAAGTGCCAAGGCATGGTCCACTGGAGGAGCCTCACTGCCTGCTGAAACCTCTCTGCCGGAGCCCATCAAGCCAGATATGTAAAGTAGGCGAGGGCCATTTGCTGGCCACTTCCAGGCAATGGTGCATTTCTTCATTCCTCACAAAGGGTGACACCTCCCCAGCATGCACCTGGGGGGGGGCGACATGGCAGGGGCTGGTTCCTCGCTGTTTCGAGATGGCCTTGTGAACCTAAGATTGAATGCATTTCAGCATAAATGGCCACCACAAAATTGTACATTGGCTCCCAGCCGGCCTGGGCCAGGGCCAAGGCAGTAGGGGCCGTTCCCTCACTGTTCCCAGGCTAGCTTCGCGGGCCACATAAAACTACTTCGCGGGCGCATCCGGCCCCCGGGCCTTGTGTTTGACATATCTGTCTTAGTAGAATAACTGTTGTGTTACAAAGGAGGAAAGGATGAGGATGAGGATTCAAAGCCAAAGGATTGTTGCCACCTCTAATATCTTAATTAGGACTAGCCAAAATGGCAGAAAAAGTATGAAATCTTTGAAACATCTTCGCAAGCAAGCATGTTACAAAAACCAAGCTGTCAAGATTAATTTACTCTTCACTAGAGATACAGAATTCAGTTGGGTTATTAAAGTGCAAAAGTAGCTGTGCAACCTGTCCTTGCATTTCTGACCCTTGCAGACTTGTAAAGCAAAGAAAAGCTGCAGTAAGATCATTAGCACAATTCAGTCAGCAATTATTTTGTTTAATAACCAACTTGCCCATACCAACTATGGTTGCTAAATGAGGATTAGCTGTATAATATATTTTTCCCTGTTGTTCTTTCCTTACTATCAGATTTCTTGTCTCAGGACAGCAAATCTAACTTATATTTCCACTTCTGTGTATACATTATAGAAGCTATGTGCCAAATTTCACTAAATGCATCCTCTCTTTGAAGGTGTTTTCTATCTGAATGAGTGTGCAATGCAAGTGTAATTAAAAGGCCTTGGGGGAAAAAGAGAGAATGAAGAGCTCTGAAAGAGTCAGTCAAAAATTAAGAACTGGACAAATCCAGATTTAGTGGATGACTGGTCATTGTGATAAGAGCTGTGGTTTTTCTTCTGTAAATTATGGCTATTATTTAAAATCTGCTTTTGTACATATATTAGTAGAAATAAATTGTATATAAATCCTTACTGATTATGGTTTCCTTACTGGCCATGCTGATTTATATGAATGCATCCACATCAGAGCTTCACTTGTTCCTTTCTGATGCTAAATTGGAGGGTGGATGTTAAAAAGTTTTAAAAAGAAGGCAGAGGACAGAGTGAAAGAAGCTTTTAGTTACATATTTGGGTGAGATTCCACCCAGTTTTAAATGTAACTCTTGGATAGGAAATGTGGAATATGAGAAGACTATTGGAGCCCCTAGAGAGCTGGTTTCTCAGCACCAAGTTAAATCACCACTAATTTGATTGAGGTGAAGGTAGCATTGTTTTAAAGAATGCTGCCCTCCTAAAGCACATAATATAAAACTAAATAAGTTATATTGCGCTATTGCTGTCTGCTCTTTAAATAGGAAGGAAACCAGCTCAGCACATATAGATTGTGAGGAATGTATATAGGTATACAAAAATAGAAGGTGCAACATTTTGCAGTTCTGTATGGAGCATTTTAAATTCTAATGGTCCTTTCTGTTTTTCCTATCCTCTCCCCTTCCCAATCTCTACATTGGCCTTTCCTCCTATCCCAGTGGTGGCGAACCTATGGCACGCGTGCCAGAGGTGGCACTCAGAGCCCTATCTGTGGGCACGCATGCCATGCCTCGGAGATGGCAACTGTCCCTCTTCAACCAGCTGCCCGCTAACTCACCGAGGTCCCACATGGCTGGATGCATCCCAGCATGGCTGGTTTCCCTCCCCCCCGGTCCCATCCCTCCTGGCCTTGCATGCTCTTCTTTTCCTGGGTACAACCCACTGCATTGCCTCCTCAGCTGTTGGCCGGCCATCCAGCTCAGGGCTGTGGAGCTGCTGACAGACACTGTTGGCCCCCATGCGCTCGCTGGCCTCTGTGTGTGGAGGGTGATGGTGGCAGGCAGCAGCTACCCCAGCTTCGCCTTGCCCTGTGACAATCGCACCCCCGCCCTGCCTCGCCTTACCTCGCCTCACCCTAAAGGACAAGCCTCCTACCCACTGCCCCACCTGCCAGATACCCCCTGGATCTCCCCCAACCCTGCCCGGCCCCCACAGGCGTCCCTCCCCACGATCAACATC